AAGCTATTTGACCTTATACACCTAAACTATCCTACTAACCTATTGTTAAACCAGGCAGTGGTTAAACCAGTTAACCAGACAACACTTGTCCATTCCATCTTATTTGTTATTATTGGAATTACACTAGTTGGCAAAGTGCTTTGTGAAGTATTGCATACCGTAAACAACACCAAAGAAAAATATGCAAAATTCAATTACTTATTTTCTATTATTTTCTATTAACAAAATTTTTTTTCTAATATTTTTTTTGAGATGAGGCATTAGTGAGTACCGTAAAAAGTCATTAAAATACATAAGTATATATCCATTACCACCATCATGTAATACTGAGCAGATTAATAAATAAAATTTTAATATTTGAGAACTGTTTTTTCCTCTTAGGTGATAAAAATTGTAAATGCTTAGTTTTCCATTATTTTATACAGCGGATTCAATTTAGTTTCTCGTAGTAGAAAATACCTTGCAATAAAATAGTTGTCTACCTCTCTTTTTATTTTATAATATCAGGTGGCTAAGTTTTAATAAGTTGAATTTAGAACGAATGAAATATTTCGATACATTAAACTTTTTTATTTGTGTGAACTTTTAGCTCGTAGTTTGAACTTGTGGGCTTTAAACATACACTTTTTACCACAAAACAACTGAAAACAATATGCCAAGGATTTCTACTTAGTATTGGATCATTGCTGAATTTACTGAGAAAGATATCTATATTTGGAAATAAATTTAGCAGTTGAAGGAAATTAAAAAAAAACTCTAGCCCTTGTCATTCTTTCTCCTATTGTTTTATTTTAACTAAACACTTTTTAATGTATGCTTAATAAACTGTAATTACATAATAAAAATATTAATAATAAAATTTTAAGCTTCAACTTTTTTTTTATCAAAACTTGCTTTTAGGACAAAGTTTAATAAATTTGCTGTAATTTTTCTGAATATTTTAACTTAATGAAAAAGTGTATTAATTCAGTGTACGTGAAGAATCGATAAATTTTGTAGAATAAAATAGTTTCGAAAAACGTTAATAAGCAAAAACTTATTTTTTGCATAAAAGGTCAAAAATAAATATTGAATGTAACTTATTATAATCGAGTTGATATTGTCGCCGTTAACAATTTTTTGTTGCTTAAGTGATCTTTTTCGATAAAAAAATATAACGTTTATAACATTAAAAAATCTAATATTTGATAAAATAAAATAATTAAGTACATTACCAAATAAGTATCAAATTTTAATTTGAAGTATAACAGTTTTGTTTTTATTTTAGGCTTTTGTTTAAAACTTATAAATTTTCTTCAATTAATATATTTAATTTGAATTTATATTACTTAATTACGTGCTAAATTTTTTCTACTTTCATTGCATAAGCATTGCAGTTTTTTTTATTAAAATTTATTTTTAAATGAATTTTTGCATTTTGTGATAAGATAAAAAATAACCTTTCTTTTCTCCAATGCTTATTTATTTATTTTGATAAATCTATTGTTGATATGATAAAAATGGCAATTTTTTTTTTTTTAAAAAAGTATTAGTTTTTCTACTTTTGAATGAATTCTAATAATTGAACGCCTTTAATTTTCCACAAATATATTACTAAGTTTATTGATAAAATAAAATTAGAACTTTAATGTTTAAATAAATATTACTACATTTGACGTTAACTTGTTTAAGTACATGTGCGACCCTTTGTTAGTCAACCTGTTGCGCAAATGGCCCTTCACTCAAAAAGGTTGTGCACCCCTAATATAGTTGATATAGTTTTAGTTAATTTCCCAGATGTTATGTTTATTTTATTGTATAAGTTTTATCTTCAATTATGTTGCAAAAATTTCTAATAAACTTTTTGAAGAAAGCAGATAAAAAGTCAGATGTTTATTTCATGGTGTTTTTGATTAAAAAATAACCCATTTTTCATCTGCTTTCTTTAAAACATAAGTAATTCTTGCAACTCATTTTAAGATAAAATTTGTACTATAAAATGAACAAAATATCTGGAAAACAATAAAATTTAATGTTAACATCTAGTTGGATTATAAAAGAACCTTTTTTTAAAAAATAAAATATGTTATAAAAGATTAAAGCATCAATGCAACAATTTTGCTGTTAGCAATTCAAGAAAATAAGTGATTTATTGGTTTTGAGGGAAAAAAATTAGTTCATTGGATGGGAATATAAAACCACTCAGAAAAAAGACTGCAAGATAAAATCTATTATTAAATTATAACCAATTATTTTTGAGTGAATTCTATAAAGTTAAAAATACTAAAATATTTTGAATCATTTAGTTAAAAAAAATACCCCCAAAGCATTGGGACAAACTTGAACAATAAATGAATTGATCCCATGGACTAGAAGAAGATAATAAAAAAAAACTACTTTTATAAACGGAAGCAAATATATCCAAACCCTATTTTTGCCTTTCCTGAACTGAATAGTCCCATAATTTCCTAAGAGGTCAAAGATTTCTCCATTCATTTAGCAACATGGGAGAGTTTCATACGGCATTCTAGTTTAGCAGGGTAATAATGGAGAGAATTTTAATGCAAGCAAAGAATTGCTAAGTTGATAATGTTTCAACTGTTTGACGTTAGATTTCCATCAAAATAATGTGGATATAGATGGTAAATAATTTAAATTAAGTTAAATTAAAAATAGCGGATGGCAAAATAATTTAAATTAAGAACAAACTTAGGTTTTTCTTTAAAACTTCCCGATTTTCCCAGATTTTTATCCAAATTTCCAACTTTTCCAGGTTTTTTCCAGCATAAAAAAAAATTCCCTGAAAATTCCAGGTTTTCCAGGTGGGTGGCCACCCTGTTTTTTCCACTGGGAAGAAAAATATGTATAAAGTTTTTTTTTTTAGAATTTGCATTTGGTGAAAACCTTTAAAAATTGGTGAATACTTTTGATATTTGGCTAATAATCTGAAATCCTTAGCACGGGCCCAGACTACTAAAAGTTGCAATTTGAATTATGTCACTCATATTAATATTGCGAAATAAAAAACCATGTGAAAATCAATAGTAATAACTGTCTAAAAATGCTTGTACCACCATGCCAATTTATGATGGAATCGAGCGCATTAAAAATTGGTTCATGAATGTGACAGGCAAAATTTAAATATGAATCTCAAATCTGTTATTTGAATTTCACTTGAGGCAATACAACAATTAATATCAGTGTATTAGAAACCTTGTGAAAATCAAAAGCAATAATTAAAAAAAGAGATTGAAACACATGAATTTACAAGGAAATTGCAAATTGAGCCTCAAAAGCCATTATTTGAAACTACACACAGATTGAAATTTTCAAGCCATAATATCATACTAAAATCTAGAGATTTTATTGAATTAATTCAATTTTATTGTAGCCAAACAAAACAAAAAACTGCAAACAAATATACCCCACCTATTTGATTTATAAATATATATTGTTACAGATCAGAATTTGTAACAAATGCCTCACTCATAGATGACATCATACTGTCTTGCGCTGCTTAAGACAAGTCTGATTTCGTCATATTTTATCAAACTTAAATTTCAAAAAATATTACAAAAATAACCACATTTGAAGAGTGCAATTTTTTAGAAGTATGTGATATCAAAATTACTTTTCATACTATCACTTTTACACACTTGTTTTTGCTATATTTTCACAATTGTTTTCTTACTAAACTGGGAAAAATAACTTGCTATAGTGTGCTAACAAGAATTCAATAAAATAAAAAAGGGGGATAATGGTAAGGTAAGGAATAGACATCCAATTAATGGGAATTTGTGAATGGTTAAAAATTAAAATATTAGATTTGCAGCACTCTGAAAAATTTTTGTTGGGATATAAGTTTTTATTCACAGAAGTCAGCGAGAAGGGTATTGAGATTTGTGAAAATCTGTAGAAAAAGCACATACTCCGCTCCTAGTTTTAAAACCGAGAAATAAGAAAAACCAGGAATACAAACCCCCCATATAAGTATTTGTCAAAAGAACTTTTATAACAATATAAATTCTTTTTTGAGCCTGTATGACCTAACTTTTAACAAAGTGAAAATGGAGTCTAGTACATTTTTATGACTCCAGCAAAGTTCTAACTATAACTCCACAGCCCTGAGATCTATAACTAATGTTGTGTCATAGAACTTTGTTTATTTACTAATTATTAACTATGATTTTAGTGTTTTGCCCATATGCATTTCCACAAGTCAAAAAACCTTTTCCAATTATTGGAAAGAAAGCAGATTCCTGATCAATTTCATGAAAATAAACATGTTACTTTTGCCACTTACCAATGCCAGTAAACCTGCTTGAAATCAAGTGAATCTTTACAGCAGAGGGTGCCTTTCCTGTTTTTCAGTAGAGCTATCTATGCACAAGAATACGACTTCAGTTACACTATTTTGGAGGATTTTGTGACCCTGACAGATTTAACATGTACTAATCACCATTTGATACACAGGGATTCTTCGCCTGGGGCGATTCCAACTTACATTCACACAAACACAAAAATAGACATAAACAAAAGATGTATACTTTTTCACATAGTGAATAGTAGCTCTGCTTATCTTCAGCTTGCCAATTAAGGAAATTAAACAAGTATACAGCACAATGTTTATATTTATAAGGTAAGTATGTTAAATTTAAAACAATAATTTTATTTTTAACATTTAAAATTACCTATAACTAGTTTATTTGAATGAATATCAAAGACAGTTTGGAAGAGAGATTTCAATGATTTTCAACACTTCTTTGTACTGTTAGATCTAAATAATAACTGGCTAGCATTTGGAAACTTTTTAGGTTTTATTTCTCATTTCAATATTAATTGGTGAACTCTAATTGACTTAGTTTTATCTACATAATTTTTTTTCCTACTTCTTAATTTTAGATTCTAAACACATGCCTAAAGAGCTGCCACAACTATCATAAACGGCTGTCAAAATGTCACATCCTGCAAACAAACACTCAAATATAAGAATCAAATATATAAATAGAAAATGTTTATACCTCTTCATTTAGCAAAATTAATCCTAAAAGCGGCCTTGACATTGACCATTGGTTTCTACATTCTTCAAAAATGACTATATTCAAGTTTGTGCTTAGCATCTATAAGAAAAACATATTTAATTGTATTGCAATTTAAAGCATAAAAATTGGAAAAAATCATCTTCTAAAAACTGAATCCCAAATTATTGGTTTTTAAAATTTTTACACCTTTTAAAAAACTGATTTGTAAATTAGCTGACTCAAAAAATTTCACGATTAAATAATTCAGTTTCGCTCTTTCCTTATTTTTTCACTTAATTTATTCACTATCACACTGCTTATGTTTTAGAAAGATTTTTCTTTAGTCTAACATTGAACATTTCTGTTTTTGCAAGGCCTTTATAATTTTAAATAATCTTCACTGAAGTTACAATTTTCTTTTCTTAGAAAACCTTAAAAACCTCTTCAAAAACCTTAAAAAATTGAGTGAATAGAATATATTTAGAAAGCAAATATATATAATGGTAAAGATAAGTTTTCGATACAAAAATATAGTGAAGAATCACAAAAATATAAGCCCTTGTAAAGAATACCTGTTGAAGTATTTCAGGATGCAATTTTAAAACTCTAAGGCAAGACTCCTCTTCCTGTGTTTCAGTTCCACTAGTTCTTCTCTTTTTCCCAGCACGCGATACCTTTTTAAATATGTAAGTAACTAGATGATCTAATGCAGCACAGCAACCTGCACACACCATAGTATCTAAATGTACGAATAATAAAGTTTATTATCAATGTTAGAATTACACTCAACAAAGAAAGTTTAAGTAAGAACAAAAAAAAAATTTTACCAGATGAAGATAATCCTTCAGAAATTGAAGATAATATATACAAAAAAAGTTGAGGCTCTAAATTACTCAAAAAATTCATGTGATCTTGTGCAAGGCATTCCAGTAAGACATAATATGTTTGACTTAGTTTTGGATAATGCTAAAAATTAACAAAAAATAACAAAAGAATTAACAAAGATATGACTTACATCAATAGCATGATTTAAATCACTCAATTTTTACTTAAAACCATTAGTTTAGAGCAACAAAAAATTTATACAGTATAATTTATAAATATACGCTTGTTGTTTTGGAGCAACAAAATTGATTCTTGTGCACAAATTTGAAACCAAATTCGGATTAAGTCACGTTTTTTGCTCAATGAATATTATTAGAGTTTTGGAGCAATTTTAGGAAAAAAAGACATTTTTGAGCAAGCTGGAGTTGAAATTCAAAGCCTGAAAATTCCTAAGTAAATTTATTGAAATTAAGAACTGAAATATTAAACTATAAAATGTTTACTATTTTTCTATTTTGTAATTTTGTTATAATACAAAAAATGTTCTTTTGATCATTTCAAACAGAAATCTGGATCAGCTACGTAGTAGAGTCAAAAAGTTCCCAGAATAGGTCACTCAGAAATTTGCAAAATATAAAACAATTTTATTTTATTAGCCATCAATGTATTTTTCTCCGACATCCACACACTTCTCTCAGCATTTGCATAACTGTTTGAAACACTTCTGGAATCCAATTCAATTTCATTTTCAGCCATGGAAAGAGGATAAAAATCAGCTGTAACTAGGTCGGGAGAATAAGAAAAGTGTTCCAGAGTGGAAATACTGTGTCTGGCAAGGTAATTTTTAACGATCAAAGAGCAAGGTGGGGAAGCAATGTCGTGTAAAAGAAACCAATCGTTTGTAGCACATTTTTCAGATCATTTTCGTCTAATTGCATTTGTAGTCATTTAAGGAACTAAGGAAGTTCTTTATTGATAGTTTGGCTTCCAGGAATTAATTCGTAGTGAATGACACCCTAATAAACAAAAAACACCTCAAACATCACTTTCTCTCGTCTTTTGTCCAGACGAAATTTTTCCTTCCTGGGTGATGTTTTTGCTTTCAATTCACTTGACTGACATTTTGTCTGAAGGTCATAGAGAAAGCATCATGTTTCATCACCTGTTAATATTTTCTTCAAGAAGTTGTCATTTTCATCAGCCATGTTAATCAAATCCCTGCACATGTTCACTCTCACTTCTAAATGTTCAGCTGATAACATTTTTGAAACCATGAGCAAGCAAACGCAAATTGTATGTTCAAATCATCGTGAAGAATGCTTTGAACACCCCCATGTGAAATTCCAAGTTCAGAGGCAAAAGCATCAATAGATATTCTGCTATCCACATGCATGCTTTTTGGAACGCACCTCTACATTTTTATCTACAGTGGAAAAGGAGGGGGGCCAGTCCGGGGATCATCTTTGATGCTGTGTGACCTTCCCAAAAACGCTTATGCTACGTATACAGCAATTTCTTCATTGCATCGTTTCCGTATGCTTTTAGTATCTTCAGTGTCTCAGGAGATTTTCTGAGCAAAACGCAGAATTTAATGCTTGCACTCTGGTCTAAAGACGACAATTCTAAGTCCAATGAATGAAAAATATGCTTTGTCAAAAATTACCGCAGCTAACACCGACAACACCAAAAATGAACTACAGATGGGTGTGTGTTTTCGTTATTAGTGTTGCCAACCTCTAAAAATATTTCCCTTCCACCGAATGATGATGACCATTCTGAGAATTTAGTGACTCTACCTCGCATAATGAAATAAAAAATTGTTTGCTCATTGAGGTGCTTAATTGAAAGGGTGCAATTGTCTCTCCAAACTTACTAGATAAACCAATATATAGAGGAAATTATAAAAAAAATCAACTTACCAAGAGGTCAGATTGAGGAACAGACAATAACATTTTCACAAATGTATTCAATGCATCATCTAAAGCAACATCTCCATACCAGCGAAATACTCCAAAATTGACATAACCACCACATAATGCAGATTTCAACATGGAAAAACATATGGAAATGCCTTTCAATGTACATTAGATAAGGAAAAATCAAACTATTTAGGATTAAACTTTTTGATAGAATACTAAGTTATAAAATTACATTTTAAAATACAGTAATTTCTGGTAGATAAGCTGCACTCTCTGTGTTGAAAAGTTTGATTGCCACATGTGTGGATTATGCGAAAAATTCTTTTGACCAAGACATGTGCGATAGTTTTAAGATCACAGAGGATTTATTCCAAAACAGATTTTTGCAGAAAATTTTCCGAACGAATAACGAACTTATCTCGTAATGCTTGCTCTGAAAAAGTTTTCGTATTTATTATTTTTTAAATTAAAATATGGGATGATAAGAGAAGTTTTCAATTGACAGTATGGCGTCATCAACAAACTAGGCTACAAAACCCAATCTAGAAATTTTTAGAGCCTTAATCTTTTAATTACAAGGAAATGTGTTCCTTTCAGGATTCAGCATATCGTCTTTTCGACATAGCTGGAACAAACCTAGCTAAAAGAACCATTTTGTAATAAATCTCCATATCGTAATTTTCAAATAAAACTAAAAACAAACAAAAAATTTTAATCGCCTTTCTATAACTAGTGGTCAAATGAACAATTTAATAGTTCTTAATTTCCGTTACGTTCTGCAGATATTCTCGACCCTTCCTCACATAGGTCATAGTGCTAGCAGTAACAAAAGGTTGAGGGCAGAAGAAAATAATCATTTTATTTCCCTCGTTCCAAATTTGAAATGTTTCTCAGTCGGAAGGGAAGAGGGAATTTTCTCTTTCTTAGCTTTACTTACACTAAAGTTATGTTGTGCAGTCAATGTCATAAATACATTGACATCACAAGAACATCTTCCTCAAGTTTCATCCCTCCCATGATTGCCATAATCATTCATTTTCTTTACTGAAGGTTGAAGGTCACCTAAGAATCCGCATTTTATAGGCTGTGGTTACATTTGACCATTATTATTGTTACAAGTTAATAAAATAGTTATTCTTCTTGGTTGCACCAGGAATTCTTATTCCCCTTTTCCAATTCTACAGAATTCCATTCATTACATTTTCCTCTTTTTCTTTTATCTTACTGTTACGGTGGTTGTAGTTCTTGTTGCAGTTCATTTACGTCGCACTAGAGCTGCACGATGGGCTATTGGCGACGTACTGTTACGCTGGAGATAATTCTTTGCTGATTGTTCCTTGCTTGATATCAGATGATGTGGAAAATTAACTCGTTGATGAACTACAATGTTTGTTTTGTTCCGCAAATAGAGAATCTGATTTTGATGGATTTGATTAAATATAAGATTGGAAATACAGTAGAGAACCAATTATTTGGGATGCTCAGGACCATCACTGTCCTGGATATGTGAATTTCTAGGTCCTCTGGATCAACCTAAAAGTAACTTTAATCGATGTTTTATTGAACCCAAATTACTGAGTAATACATTTTACAAGAAGAAAGACGAAAAAAGATAAGCTCTCCTAAATTTAATAAAAAATGGTAGAAAAGTAACATTTAAAAGAATAAAAACGTTTACAAATTTAGACAAAAAACATAAATATTAAAAACGAGGACAAGACTGGATATTATATGATCAACTGAATTAAAAAAGAAACTTTATCTTAAAATTGATATACAAAAAGAAATAATTTATTGAGTATGAAATTTATTGTGAATGGTGGAAAAGGAAAAAAAAACTAGAAACATAGTAGAATCAGAATTGTAATGCTTCATAAAATAATCATCTACTATTTGTAATAAGTAATTGCATGCTTAGATTAATAAATAGTATTCTCCTTAATTTTTAGACGATTTTTAACAAAAGCAGATGAAATTCCCCAACAAGAAAAACTTGCAAATGATACCACACTTCTACAGAATCACAATTTATCCAGTTGAAAATATTGTTTCATTAATTGATGGATAAAAATAGCAGGCAATTGAAAAACGTTTTGTTCGTAATAATAAATCATAATAATAATGTACTATACGAAATTGTAAAATAGTTTGTCATAATAAATCAAAGATATCAAAACTGAGTAATTAAAGTGGATTAAAAAGAATTCTAACATGCCAACACTGTTGAGGCATAACTTTCAAGTTCCTTAACTCAGACATCCAATTGAAAACACTTAGAAACAATTAAGGATAATAGAAGAATCTTGAAGATGCACCTAGTGATGGCTGGTTTGGAAAAAAATTGGATTTTTTTTAATCCGCTATAGCTCAAATTACAATATTACTAAAAACAGAAAAGTGAAATCCAACAATTTGATCACATGTCGAATTCGCTGACAATGATAATTTCAGATTTTAGGGTAAAATTGCGTTTTCCCCTGACAATTCTTGGGACTTATGAATCCGTTGTTTTACTTTTAGACCATATTGTTGTTCATTTTCTGAATTTTCACTCCAGATTCTAAATTTAACAAAATCTGAAGTTAGAAAAAGATTCATACTTATTTATTATTTTATTTCATTTTTATTTTTAAAATGCCATGGAGGACTTATAAGGAGTGACTTAGCCACATTTTTAATTAAATGTTACTAATTTATTTTATTAAATCCTCTTTTTTAAATAATGCGTTAAATAAAATAAAGTACTCAAATTTAAATTCTAACAAATGTTTTATAAGTCTCTTTGTAATCATTTAATGCACCAATAATAAAAATTTATTCATATTTATTTAGATGAATTATGAATTTTAGTAATAGTGGTCTGGACAAAGTTTGTTTTTTGCCACTAGCCCAGTCAATTATGTTTACAACTTACTAAATTATAATTTACCAAATTCTTCTGATTATTTTTTTTTAATGATTAAATTCTGCTAACTATATTCCTTCTTTATAATGGAATAAAAAATAACCACATTTTTTTAGTAAAGGGATATATCTTCTTTTTATTTCCCCTTCTTCTGTTCACTGACATGCACATTCAATGCATTACCCCCTCCTCCTCGTAAATCAAAGAGAAAACGAAGTCAGCGTGCCACTCCTTTATGATTGATTGACAGCAGCTTATCAGAAAAACAATGATTCTTTCCAACACACAGGAGAAAATAAAACATTTGTCCCTTTCCCAACCCTTCTCGATCTAAAGATCTTCAGGGTCACAGAAGAAATATTGAAGTTTTTTATCAACTAACGGGGAGAAAAATAAACCCCTCAACACATTCTACTCAACTTCAAGGACGAGTCGAATTTCTGCTTTTTTCCTCTAGCGTTCTAGTTCAAAATGGCGGGAAAATAGAGCAAAATTTTTACCGGTTTTCTGGATACCAGATAAATGGTTCTGTACTGTATTTGAAAAATAAATAATAAGTTGATGATTTATTTTCATTTTCAGATTCGTTTAATTTAATTGCATACACATTCTCATAATATGATTCTGATTGGTTATATGTTTCTTCTGTAAGTAAGTATCATTCTCAATTCTTTCTTTTTATAATAAGTGCATATAAGAAAAAGATTTATAACTAACAACTGTTTTCAAAGAATAGATTTTATATTTTAAATATTATTATTTTTCAAGTGTATTTTCACTCACATGATACTTGATAAGAATCGATGTGGCGACCAATGTGATGCCTACTATTCTGCAATTTTAAATATGTTACAATTCTTTTAACTACGAATAACTTTTATTTGATTTCAAACTTTAATTATGTACTTGAAAAGCGAATCGTAACAGGATTTATATGCAGTACTTCTTATCAATATAATTGAATAAATCTAGTGACTTTTCATACTTTATTGTATGTAAGTAAGAAAAAAAATTCAAAAGATCGAAATTGAAAAATCAAAATTTCAAAACACAAAAAGGATATTTCATTTTGTATGTTTGATCCTTTGGTATAGTGGTCATGGTCAAAAGTCTTGTACCTAATAAAAAAAACATAAGAAAATTAATCATACCATACAGAAAAATCAGGATGCAAAATATAGCTGCGGTTTTTGTCCTAAAACAAGAGTATTTATAAGCAAATGCACTATCATGGAGCATTTTTTTTTAAATAAAATTTAAATAAATAGGCAGTGTGGTCAGAAGTACTCAGAGTTAATTACCATGTTTCAGGAGAAACACTTTAATACTGGTGAAATAGAACTCCGATTTGAGTGTTTTTGATCTACTAAAAAATTCAGCTTTATTTCCAATAATTTTTTTATGCTTATCTTGATTTATGTGTTTTAAAACATTTTTTTGGCCATGTTCAATTATAATATTATGCATGCACTAAAAAATGCACAATTTTATCCCTTTCAGGAACTTTTAATGAAAGGAAAGTAATCCAAAAAGGATTTCTGGAAATAACAATCATATTTCTCTTTATGCAAGCTCATATTTAGAAACGAACCATAAATGATGCAAGACACTCACATGAGTAAGCAAGCAGAAGCAAAATGAGAAAATAAACTTCACTTCAGTAAAAAAAAATCAGGCCTACACATTTTTATGCTTATCGTGAAATGAATCAACATGGAAACAGTTTTCACAAAGTTATAGACTACTCACATATCTGTGACGGCCAATTGTTTGTTGGAGAGGCACTATGTGCACATGCTACAAAACAGGTGAGTGCATCTGCCAATAGTGTCTCATTTCATGCTTGCGTTTTAAGAGTATTAACCCCTTAACTGCCGAGTGAAATTAACGTAATTCACTCCCCAGTGCCACCGTTTTTCGCTCAAGTGCACTTTCTTACACGGTGTTTGGAGTGGGGAAAATGAAGCACGCTTTGCAATTTAAAAACAGTTTAATTTTACAAGAAAAAGGAAAGAAAGAAAATACAAAGTTTAAATTAAATAATAAAAATACAATATAAAAGGCGTTAAAACTTAGCTGTTGTATGATAAATCCTGAAACATGGTTGGACACATAAACCAACATCACATTCATCGCACTGATAGCGGGATTTGCGAAGAATTTTCTTTCTTGAACAAACAGCACATTTTCGTGATGCATTTTTCTTTGAAGATGTTGATGGAAAGAATAAAAATCACCAAATACATACGGGAAACAAAAGCGAAAAAAGAATAAACCCGACCTTACTGAAATAAATACACACAAGCGATTAATATGATATCACTTTTCCATGACATCCTTTTCCCCCTCCTCCTAAATTAGCAATACATTCGCAAAGCAAACACTTTCAAGGCCATTTTACTGCATTCTGAGAAAGGGGGTGTAGTTCTATTTATAGCAGCGCAATGCAAAGCATCGTACTTCGGGAAAGCGTATATATATACCTGCGGCAGTTAACGCATCGTCTGGCCGAGACGTATATATACGCCCGCGGCAGTTAAGGGGTTAACAAAGCAGCTCATTCACGTCATGAATTTACTCATATTTTAAATTTTTAACAAATATTTAGTAGTTAAAAATTTTTTGGGGCATGAATTGAAAGGTTGGCGAATTATTTAAAAAGCGATAAACATCTTTAAAGATATTTTTAAAAAAAACAGGAAAAATGAGTGAAAAATCTTGCTGACAGGATAACTAGGAGAAAATTAACATTAACAGGGAAAAATTAACATTTTTCCATATGTGTTATTTTAGAAAAAAAAAACTAGAATTCAAACATATTACTAGAAAATTCTCCCCCAAGGTAATGGGCATAAAACAGTAAATAAATTATTAAGCAGTGTTCCTGGTAGTTCAAAATAAAAATTAAGACAACATTTTACAAAAGAATCACGAAATTTTTTGGTGCAATCCATAATACTATTTTTGAGAAGGAGAGACGAAGAGCTAAAAAAAATTTATAAGCCACTGCTTTGAAAAGTGCTTCATGTGGCACATTTCTTTAATTCACCACAATGCTGAAAAAAAGAAAAACATGAGATATACTCAATGTTTTCAAATAAAAAATTAAAATAGGAACAAGTTGATCTAAAATGAGTTTAACAAACAACGTGATTTTACGCATGCATATGGAGAAATTTTGGGACCTGAATTTTCTTGACTTTGGAAATAGATTCCTCAATATAAAGATAGATCAGCATAAGTTTAAAAGAAAAAAGATATTAGTTGTTTTCATGAAACAATAAATTATTTCAAAATTAAATGTTATTAAAAAAGAAATGTTAACAAAAGTGAAAAGAAAACGTAATACATCTTAATCTAAAAACAAAGATCATCAAAAGATTAAGAAAAAACTAAGAGATTAAATCATTAATTAAGGGGAAATGGCCATTTAAAATTGCTTTTGATTTTGCAATAAATGAAATGAAAAACAACACTTTCATTTCAATTTGATAGGCAAGAGAATTTACAACTCTAAAATGTTAATAAGTTTCATCAATTACTAGAATACACAGACTCATCTGAACAATTAATCCAATAGTCAAGCATGCAAGTCACAAGATATAAAACAACGTACCTAGGCGGAGACTGAAACTGGACTAGTATTTTATTTACAAAAAAAAGATTATATTTATTACACACTACTGCTATCTACACTAGCATTTGTGTTGCCATCAATGGACAAAATAATGTTAAACAATACTTCCACTTTAGTTTACATATTTAACAAAAATACTCAGGATCACAAATGTGCAGAAAATAAAAGTTATTTAAGTCCCATGGATGTTCCACAAAGTTAGTGTTTTGTTCTATTTACAGTTTTTGTTAGATTTTCCGCTTCTGTTGTGCTTGTTGCTACTGTAGGTTGTCGTTTACTGCACCAAGACACTGCTCCACCTCCAATGGTGAAAGCATATCCAGTCATTGATCTATAGTCACCAATGTCATCAACGTAGTTGAATCACAGTATCCTATGATTTCACTACCATGATCTTTAGAATAGTTCAATGTAGTATCAGTGGTACCTTAAAGATACCTGAAAATTCTTTTAATACCTTTCCAGAGTATTTGAGATGGATTGTTTCAAAATTGGCACACAGTATTAACTGTATGTGAAATGTCTGGTCGAGTTGCTTGAGCTGTATAAAGCAGACTACCAACTGCTGCTTGGAAAGAAACATTAGGCTTATGTTCCTATAAATTATCGTCTGTAAGTTGAACTTTTGTCAAGATTTGATTGGGATCAAGTGGTGTTGCGACTGGATGTAACTCATGTATGTTTGTTTTGTTTTTTTGCTCTAATGTATTGGGTTTGATTTAGGTTAATGGACCCTTCTGATCTGTTATGCTCTATTTTAACCCCTAAACAATAACTGGCTTCACCTAAATCTTTCACTAAGTTGCTTCTTCCCTAATTTTTAAGCCTTACTGAGTTGCTAAAAATTAATAAGTCATCTACATAGATAGCTACGATTACATGTTCTTTACTCTCATTTAGTTTAATATAGGCACAACTATCAAGAGAACTTTGCCTAAAACCCATTTCAATTAAGCCTTCTTCTAATGTAAGATATCAAAGCCTGCCACTTTGCTTTAAGCCATCCAGAGCTTTATTAAGTTTGAGAACTTTCCAATTTAAATTTCATTAGTAATATTCACTATTTGGAAATCTGGCATACCATTGTTATCAAAATTTTGATAATGAACTGGAAGTTTAACACTCTTCCTATAGTTGTCAATTTAGGCATGTCATTATCAACAATTATATTATTAGTACTCTCATTATTATTTATAAAATTGCCACTATCTAAGCCATTAATGTCACCCTGACCCCTGCTAACATCATCATCACTTTGGAATATATTTTATGTGTTTTCAAAGTCAACAACACTCCCACTGAATAAAGAGTCATCACTGAACTTGGGTGAGTTATTGCCACTTTTATTATCATGATACAAATCAAGTTCCAAATAATGTACATCTCGTGCTACAACAATATGATAATTAGTAGGGTCAATTGGACAATAGACCTTTTGATCCAACTCTTTCACTCATTTAGCTTTACCCTTGGGAAATGGTTACTTATGCATTTTACCTTTAATACATGGTATACAATTATTAATTTTCCCATTAAAAGAGAAACCTTCAACCATATCTTGCAATCTAACCATCCCTCCTCCTTCTCTTAAGTAACATATTTTCTTATGCAATAACTCATTTAATGAGTGAAAAGTAATTAAAGCCATATCATTATGAATATCTAAAGAATATAATCGATTGTTTACACCTGTTCCACTAGCAACTAAATTATCACCCTTATAAACAAAACATTTTTTTCTCTATAAAAGTAGTAACTATCCAAAAAGTTTTGCTTCGATACTTAATAGATAGCAAGTTAGCAGTTAGCTTTGGAACATGTAGTACATTATTAAAAGTTACTTTTGCTTTCTGCCAGTTTCTATATAAAAGAAAACTAACACACCTTTCTCCTTCAACTTCTATAACAGAGCTAACTGCTTTAATTTGACTAATACTTGCAGTTTTGTAATCTGTTAGCTATTCTTTGTATGGTGTCATATGGAAAGAAGCACAAGAATCCATGTACCAAACATTAGGATTTGGGTTAGAATTTACTACATAGATACCTGCTACAAAAGCTTCTTCATTCATAGGAGTCTTACTAGAAGTAGGCTTTACATTACCCCTTTTGTTAAATTTATCATACCCACCTTTCTGTCATGGAGCTCTTTGACAATCTATACCTTTATTCCCAAACAAATTACATTTGAAGCATTTCCCCCTAAACTTATTCTTGCCTTTAAACTTCTCATTAAGGAAAGCTTGATCTAAATTCCCATCAGAATTTGGTTTATCATCCTCAGCGATTAATCTAATTTTAACGTTATCAACAGTTATCTCTTCCCCACAATTTTTCAAAACCATGATAAGGGGTTCAAATCTATCAGGTAAGTTTGCTGATATGCTGAAATTATTTTATGAAGATAGTCACATATATCTCTACAATCTGTATACTTAGTGTTAACCGATTATTTAATTACAGACACTTTTCTAGTCATTCCTTAATCATCATAAGTTTTTGATAATACTTAACAGGCTTCTTTGCCACTAGATAAGTCCCTCAAATCATTAAAAATTGTTTCACTAACCCCTTCAACTATGTATGACAAGTCTTTGGCATCTAAAGCTGCTTTTTATTTTTTTCCCTCTATAAAAGCCCATAAATCTCTTATGATTGGGTGAATTTTCATGGCAAACTTCCAATCAGCATAATTTGTCCTCCCTGTCAATTTATTATGGCTAAAAGAACCTTCTTCCCCTGGCAAAGTTAAGTTTCTGAATTTTTTTAACATTAAATTAAACTATTAAAAATATAACTATAAAATTTAAACAGATTTTAGTAAAATTTCTATTAAAGCATAGCTACATTAAATTAGTTACAAAGTTAAAAACAACATTCATATGTAGTGAGCTTTTAGTGTAGTTAACCATGTGTTAACACATGCTACCATAATTTATCTATTTTTAATTCTAAACTTCAGCAAAGAATTTAAAAATAAATATATTAAACTTAATAAATGTTATCTATTAATTTCTTGGATCATAACATTTGGGCTGCCATCTATGGACAAAATGATGTTAAACTAACACATTTAATATCATCAATAATATAATAGTTCATATACTAGAATGTATGGGGAATGGACATAATAATGGAAACACTTCTATACTAATAAATATTTTTATATTTCACTGGAAAATACTTAAAGAATCATTTTATAGCTTCAGAAGTGTTAAGATAATGCCATTTCTCATACATATCAATGAAGTTTAAAGCTTTTAGAGATTTGAGGGACACAATAATTTAAATGAAAAATAGCGCTTTTGAAAAAAGTCCGATGCCAAAAAAGTTAACAATACATTTGTAACTTGTAGCAACTACTTTGGTTATTATATGCAATTATTGCACAAAATTTCGTAAGCGTAGCTTAAATATTTCTGGATATATGGACATTTTTACAGGAAAACTATTTCTTTGCTTTACTCTTTTTTGCTATAACTTCAGCAAAAAGCGATTAATTAAATTAAAATTTCTGCTTCAAATTTCGAAAAAAAAAAATTGAAAACTGTGAAATATATAAGTATTACTTATACCTTGTACTGTTTTAAACTAATTTTTCTCAAATTTTAAAGCAATAATTTTGCAATTAATTTTAGAAAGTTCTAAAAATTTTGTTACATTTTATTGAGTATTTTTAAAGTTATAGCAAAAAAAACATGACACAAAAAAATTTGTTTTCTATAAAAATTTTCAAATTTCCATAAATTATGAAGCTAGGATTATGAAATTTTGTGATACTATTACATATAATGACCAAAAATAATTGTTACAAGTAAAAACTTTATTGCTACATTTTTGGCATAGGATGTTTAAAAATACTATTTTCAGTTTGTCATTTATTATCTGTCCCTCAAACCTCTAAAAGCTTTAAACTTCATTAAGTATGAGAAATCGCATATACTAAATGCTTCTAAATTTATAAAATGATTCCCTAAGTATTTTTTGCGAAAATCAAAAAAAGTGTTAGTATAGAAGTGTTTCCATTATTTTGTTCAACCCCTGTACATATAAATGTTATTAGTACATCATTTTCCAAATAGCAATCGGACATATTAAAAAAAATTAAAAAACAAACAAGCTGGCATTTCTTTTTCATAAGATGACCAAAAGACAAAAAAGATTATAAGTCTGAATGATGAGTAATTAGTGGATGGTCCCTAAATTTGAACTGTTGTATGTTTGCAATTTTTTAAAAATTATAGATTTAATCATTCTTAAATAGAATAAGAAGATGATATAAGCATTCCAAAATGACTAAGTTTTGAAGTCCATTGAAACTATACATTCAAAAAAAAACTCTCATACTTAAAAACTAATTTCACAACTTATTAAAACCAAATAATAATAATCATTAAAAAGATTTACTGCAATCTGAAAATAGAGTGCAAGGTAACTTTATTACTTCAAATTTTGAGATGATAACAGCTTAACTTTTGTTTAGAACTGTGAAAAAGTATGAGAAACAGAGAAGCTTGTAGCTGGGCTTCAATACACACATAAAATAGAAATGACAGATAAGAAAAATAATTTGTAAATTTATGATATTGGAAAAGAATTTCCATTTTTCAACTGACAGTTATATTCTCTATATTTCCATTAAAAAAATGAAATATTACAACTTATAAATAGTTACAAAATTACAACATTATACATGCACATGAAAATTTAATATAAAACTTACCATAATTAACTATAACTTTACTTGCTTCACGGAACAAAAGAACACCATTAGGAGATGATACATCAAATTGTAAACGCTGAGATCGATTTACAACTAATTCAGCAAAAAGTTTTAAAGTTGGTGTGGTAACAGCTGGATCATGATACCACATTTCAATTGCTCTATGTAATATTGGAGTGTATGTTGGGTATCTAAAAATTATTAAGGACTTACAAAGTTGAAGATAATTACTACTGAACTCGTAAAAGGAATTTAAAAAAAAATATCAAAATGATTATACAAATATCAACATTAAATAATTAATAATAAATAATTAAATAATAATAAAATGATTGTAATAAGATTTATCACTCCACATATTTAAAAATAAAACAAGTTATTAGCCAAACACAAAAGATAGTATTTATTACAGCGAAAAATTTAAAAAACGAGTCAAGATAATTCCTGTAAGCTCATATATACTGGGCATATTCATTGGCATATCAAAAAAATCTCTATAATAAAAATAGGTGTTGGATTTCATAATCATCAGTTGGTTTTATCTATATTTAAAAGTATTTAGGCCTTTCTTTAAACACTTTTTAATATTTATTTTCATATTTTTCAAAGGAGGTATTTTTGCAGTGGGACAGGTACGTGCAAGTACAATGTATACTTATTTATTTCATTTTTTTAGAGAACAGGAACGTTTTTGAACTCTGACTCAAGCATTATTCTTTTCAATTTTGCAAATCTTTTGTCAAAAATAAATTCTTCACATCATAGTTGCAAACATTTTTAATTTAAATGAAAATTATATCAGATATTATAAGAATATTATCAGATGTTTATAAGATTATCTTATATTCATTTCGGTCAGCAAGCTCCTCATTGTCTACCTTAATAATACTGAGATATGCTGAATTTTGATGAATTGAAATTGAGTAACTGATTTCACAAAAAGGAAACAAATGCTGTCTTCATTAATGGGTCAATTATCCAATGAAAAGCAAAATAATTTGCAGTAAGTTTTGAAAATTATGAAAACTTTTATGCTTCTAATGGATGGATCTACAAAAGACATTAATTAAATAGTTTGAGTTTTAAAATTGCATATGTACTTATCAATATTTGAATGATGCGATTTTCAGTAATTTATTGTTGGAAGATTAAACTGTTGCGAGACCTTCAGCTTCTAAAGCCCTAAAAAGTTGCAGGAAATTAGGCCATTCACTTATACCTGATAATCCAAAATGTGATACAGCTGTAGTCCTTTGCCTGTTCACGAGACACAGTTGCCTTGATGTCCATCCTTATTGAATAGCTGTAACACCCAAGCTAAATTGTCAACTATGTGATTCTGAAGAAGCAAAGAAAAGGACCATCAACTCTGATGTGGGGTTCTTTAGAAACTTACAGAAGTGTTGAGATATCAAGATGCAAGCAAGCTCTTTTGGCAACAACTGCATTTTTCTGTTCATTTTATTATTCTATTGTTCTTATAATCTTTTGCCTAGCCATCGGAAATTAAAAAGAAATAAAAAAATCTTCCCCATATTCTTTATTTCAATTTCAAATAGTTATATATTTAAGTGGCAATAACAGTTCTTTTTATTAGTAATAACAGAGGATATACAAATCAAATGTTATTTATTGAAAATGTAAGAATATACACTATTTTAAAACAAAAATATGAAAAATTATCAGAATTGATAGATAAACCATCCATTCAACAATAGTTAAAATCAATGAAAAATGTCTATCCTTACCTAATTGTTATTTAAATATTTTTCTGTTTTTTTTTTAGCGAATAATACATATCTAAATAATACATATCTTCATAATACATACATAGCCTAAAATAATACATATCTTCTGATAATTTGATATTTTTATTTAAATTTTAATTTCATTGCATTTCCAAACAAATTCAAATAACTTTTTAGTGTTTAGGAATTAAAGCATGCAAGGTTTGAAACCATAAAATATACATTTTGTACATTCAATAATTAAAGAATCATCAATAGCTTCGTAGTTTATATTAAAGTTTAATCTGATTACCTTTTTCACTGACATTATATGTGTGTGTGTGTAAACAGTCCAGCAACTTTCTCCCGAAAAGTGAAGAAAAAAATTTTTTAAAAAAGATTTTTATTTTTTTCTTTCTAAAATTACTGAATGCAAAATGGATATTAATACAAATTTTTCGAGCTATTTTTAACCTGGTTAATCTTCACATTATTCAAATATGATGTCTTATAAGTATGACTTCTGAATTGGTACACCGAAGAGCTTCATATCATTTATATGAAGGTCAAGATAAACTGGTTCTATCAGAAGAGCTCGAAATTTCCAGAATATGAACTGTTTTTGGTAATTGAAAATGCTTACCAAGAATCAGGACAAGTTTGTAAGCCAGCAACAACACATCTGTGCTAAACACTAACAGGGAGAAGCTGCACAGCACCTTCAGACAACTACTAGTACCAGATTTAAAACTTAAATTGCATATAACAGATTCCACCATGGGGGCTTATATGCTTACTCACACATAGACCTATGGGTTAAGTTTTGTTTACAGAAAACCTCATACTGCTTGTAGAATGTGAACACAAGAGCATCTTCTTATAAGATGAGTGAAACAATGTGCTTCTTAGGGACAAGTTGCACTTCTGTGTACAAACTGACAACACGTAGATAATCATCAGGAAGGAACGTGGTATTCAGAATAATCCTGTATTTATGCATGAAACTGGACAATTTACTGTTAGGAAATTATCAAATTTTTGCATCTAACTGTTAATTGTTAAGAGCAGTCCTTAAAAGTAAATATAAATTAATGAGATTTTGCAGAAATGAACCACATTTGTGTATACACCATAGCAACTCAATTCAAAATAAAGTAAATAGTATTTTGCCATTAAAGCTACAGTTTCATCACACTGAATGATAATAGACTTAATACATTTAATACAATAATTAATTACACACACCCAATAATTAATGAATAAATTAATGATTATGATTGTTTCCCTTTAAACTTTAATAGTTTGTCATTTTCTTAATCATTTAGAGTCCTTCTTTAATATACAGTGGAAAGTTGCGTATCCGGAATCGGTGATACCTCCGGAAGTACGGATAATAGATTTTTCCGGATAATAGAACCCCAAGGTAAACAAAGCTTAAAAAGATCTAATAAACGATCTGAAGAAGCAAAAAATAAATAAACACTATTTTTGGGGCAATAATGTTTTAGTATTAGAATGATATTTAATCAATCAAAAACAAATTATTAGAAAAAAAAATTATTATTGCTTAAAATATAGAGAACAAAAATTTAACAGTTATGAAAATATTAATTGCTCTCTCCGCCATTTTGAACTAGAATGATTCAAGCAAGAAGCAGAAATTCCCATTATTCATTTAGGTGGGTATGTTGAGGAGAGAAATTCATTTCATCCTTATTTGCATAGAGAAAATATGAGTAAAGAGGAGATCAATCAAGTTGAGAGTGGGGAAGAGACAAATTCTTATTTTCTCTCTGATCATTGGCTATCACTGAAAGAATCTGGACGTCACTGAAAGAATCTGGTTAGTGGTTGTTAAAACAACGTTAAGGAGGGGGTCTTGAAATCTTTTTCATGTCAATGCTAAAGAAAGAATGTTCCCCCTCTTTTTCCCCGCCTCCTAATTATTACATGGTCACGAGAATAACGAATGTTTCTCAAGGACGTGTATCCTTTTAGACCTATTCATATTTTCCATTTTGACTCCCCCTCCACGTTAACATTCGCCGTGTTTACCTTTTTCCACAGTATTTCTTCTTTCCCTAACACTCTAATAAAAAGGTTCCCAGAAATGCCTCTTTCACTAGTCAGCTGCATAGGAAAGAAGGGGGAAGGGGACTCAGTTGCGCTCTTTTGAAAACAAATCTCCCTTTTTTCTTGCATTCCTGAGGAGGTGCGTCACTAACAGTCACTCGACGGTCTAGGCAGATCTTCTTATCCCCTTAACTAATCACTAGAAGACCTCACTTAGACCTCAACAAATCACTAGAAGCTGAAAAAGGAAAAAACATGTCAAAATACCTCTTTTTTTTCAAGAGAGAGGAAGATGAAGAGATATTTGATTATTTTGATGGTTAAGAAGTGTCCAGGAAATCGACCCTTCCGGAAAAGGGAAGTCCGGATATGGAACGTTACACTGTATATAATTTATTTAAAAAGGCTGCTTTAAACCAAATTTCATACAAATATACGAATCAGGAAAGGATACATCCATTCAAATAACATCATATAACTTATTTTTGAGTTAAAAGCAAACGCCAGACCTCTCAGATCCCTAGCCAGTCCAATCAGTTGTTTCTAAAGTACATATGAAAAAATAATAAGCAAACAATTAATGAGACCACCTGAAAATGAAGAAAAGTACATACTTTAGTTTCCGTTTCGTTGAATGAGCCACCATTTTCTGCAGCCGTTAAAGCATTTCCAACAGTTTCAAAAGTAGCTAAAAATCCAAAAGAATAAAAAAGTTAAGAAATAAACCAAATGCAAAAATGTGACTTTCAATCAATTTTGTTTAACATTTACATTTGATAAATGATATCTATACTTTTTCTGCAGAAAAAAGTAAAAATTTAAAAGGAGTGAAAGCCAGAGTTTTAAACTTAAAATTTAAAAGACAATTAGACAGCAGTGCATTCTTTTTCTCTCTTAGTGAACACTCTAAATTTGCTTATTACACATTCATTTATTTTTGTTTAACTTGTTATGCCATGTGTTCAATTTATTGTAATGAGTGTATCACGATAACTAAGTTCATCAACATTAAAATTGCATAAGTTAAATTTTCTCCCTTTTGATCCTTATTTCTGCACTCATTTTTAATCTTGCAGAATTTGTATGTGTTAGTGATGATTAGGGATAGGCTATAGTTGCTGAATGTATTAATACTTAACTGTAGCCATGTTTAACTTGACACCATTCCTTTGATAAATTCACAACAAAAATTTAATTAGTCAATTATTCCACTATACATTACTCTAATTGTCACTGAATGTTTAACCTGAAACTTTTTCAACTATTTTAATTAAATTTTTCAATTAAAAATGTATTATATATTAATTTTACTATTTTAGAATTCTTCATCACAGGCACTTACAAATAGTTTACAAAAATAAGGAGACAAATTATCAATAACAATACTTAGTTAATTCTATATTGCAAAAACAGGAATTAAAATTTTTAAATTTAAAAATAAAAATAATTTTTAACCGTAGCGAAATTCTTATTTAGTCAAAGAATATAAAATCTAGGTGTTAATGTGCATTTAAATATTTAATACATAGTAAAAAAAAGAAAACATAAAATGTATTAGTATAAAAGAAGACATAAATGCATGTATAAGCCAAATTTTTGAACTAAAAATAGGCACCTTTTAAGTACTTTTCAAGCACTGAAAAAATATTTTTAATCACCTTAAAAAAATATCATAATCAGGCAGGGTTGGCAAGTTTATGACGATTGACAGTTTTAACTAGGGATGTAACGAATATTAGCCCACTATTCAATATTCGGCTCTTTTGCCGAATATTCGGTTAGCCAAATATTTGGCAACCTATTATTTTGAAATTTATTTTTTGACAGTTTTTTGGGGGGAAACATTAATAGATTTAATAAAGAATAATCTAAAATCGTATTTACATAAATTTCATATATAAAACATACATTTCTTCTGCAATAGATAATTTTACATTATACAAGTATACATGTGTGAAAACCAAATAAATATGTATTTCTTACAAGTTAAAGGCATCATAAACTGCTCAAATTTATCTTCATCTTCACCGAGGTTAATCAACAAGAGCCTTCCTAAAGCAGTATAAAAAACTGTCCTACATCGCATATCACATATTTGCATTCCACATCCCAAGAAAGGAAAATGCTCACTCTAAAAGAAACATAAATTTGTAGATTTTAACAAATATTAATTTTTCTTAAGTTAAATGAATTTAAATACTTACAGTATGATTATTTAACATAAATTGTACTTCCTCCAGCTTTACTAATTTTCGGACACTAGTATAACCAACAGAGAGATCACTAAGTAGCTGTAATGTTCGATTGATTATCTGCTCACTTCTACTCCAAAATTTCAAATTTGTAAGTCTAAAGTAGTATTAAAAAGGAATTAAAAAAATTTTTAAAGTAAGCAATAATTTAACATAAAATTATTTTTCAGACTATGTGTAAGGCTATAAAGTAAAATAAAAAGATTTGGGTCTCCAGAAGATTCCGCCAATGCCACGACGAGTAGTGATGACTGATATTTATCGTTATGAGCATGAGTCAGCCCAGATCCTCTCTTAGTGCAGCCACCAAAAGATTAGCGTCAACATCTACTGTTCGTGGAAGGCTTCACGAACGTGGTTTGTTCCTTAGGCAATCAGCCACTCTCATCACATTATAGACGGTTGATGAATGAAGGGCTGTTCTTTTCAAAGACGGGCTCAGGTTTAGGCCCCAAAGCGTTTGATTTGGAGAAAGCTGGGAACCCAATATTATCCATAAAACATCAGTGAAAGTGATGCATACCAAAGAGGCAGTGACTGTGTGGTATCTCTTTGGGTGAACACCCAGGTCAGCCTGTCTTTCCACGTGGACTCATAAGTGGTCACACATATAGAGATGACATCTTGATGTTTATGTGCGACCTTATACTGGTGCAATAGGTGGTGATTTTGTGCTTGCAATTCTAAATTTTTATCATATGAAAAAATATGTGAATCATTTGGAGGAGTTATACGAGCAGTTTTAAAAATAAAGAATACTGGAAACATTACTTTTGAACTTTCTTGGTTTAACAGGCAATAGGACAGTATGCATTCTATAATACTATTAAGATCAGTTTAACTTGTGACGTAACTACTGCTGTTAACTACCACTGATTTGAACATGTGTACTTCACTGGATGGTTCCCATTGATCAGTTGAGTTGCTATTGTGACTGCAATATTTTCCACCTACTTCCACTGTTGCTACTCAGTCTCAATCACACACAATGTTGGCCGGTCTACACTTAACTGCTAATAGCGACTACAACCGTGAACTTAATACAGCTCTCATGAGTAAAAATAAGGAGTCATGAGCTTCACGAGTTTAAAAGTAAGATGATCTTAAGAAATTGAATGACTAATTAAAAGAAATTGAATGACAAGTAAGAGCATGTTTTCTTAACAAAATATGTAATATTATTATAAAATTCCTTTTCTTACCTTCATTTCTTATAAATTTAATCCTTTCCCTTGTCTAAATTAAAAGCATAATAAAGAACCTGTGTAATAACTAACTCATAAAAACATCACAGCAACTTATGTACTTAAGGTAAAATATTTTATTTTTTATTCTGTAAGAACCATTTAAATATTATGAAAGCATGTTTTTGGCTATTTTGAAACTCCTTCCTTTTCATTAGCAAAAATGATATCACTAAACGCATCCTGTACTAATGTAAGAAAGTCACAACATGGAGTGTAAACACCAAAAGATATGGTTGAGTAATTTCCTAAACGCTTTTGTTACCCATTGACTAGCTATCAATGGGAAAATGTTTGATTTCAAAGCATGAAAATGTATTACACTTGTTTTTGAAATAATTTTCAAGGAATTAAAAAATGGAACAAGATTTTTGTTTGCTATATTGGAATGACAAGCTTAATTTGAACATTCTAATGGGTGTTAAAATAACATGACGTCTATGGAACAGCAAACTGGACTGGATCAATCGTTATAATGGAAGGGTCAGAGCAATGGAAAGTCCAACTAAAGAGTGCAAACTGTATGTATGTATCTATCTATCTATCTATCTATCTATCTATATATATATATATATATATATATATAAAAATATGTATCTATCTATCTNAGGTATTTTCAATTTATGATAATCATTATTTTCAGCATTATATATATATATATATATATACATGACGCACATTAACACATATACATAAACATTTGCTATACTTACATTTTTCTCACAAAAACACTTAAAACCATTGATTCATCAGAAACACCTAAAACTTCAGATAAGCGTTTATAAACCTTTGACGTTCGTTGAACTTGATCACCAACATAAATTTTACGAAACTGCTGAAAGAAATAAATTGTGGCTAGTTCTAATTTTTCACAACCCCCTTGTGATATTCTGTTATCAGTAAGATTCATCAGCTGCAAGACTCTGTTAAAAAGAAGAAAAAAACTTTGAGAAACTTCATTAACTAAAATATTAGTCTTAAAAAGAAATATTTCATTCAAACAACTACCGGCAAATGAGCTCTCCATCCATTGCATCATATTCATCAGCTGTGCTAAAAGAAACTCTTCCACCAATAGCTGCTGCAATGATATATACAAGCCATGTCAACTGTCCTAAATAGAAAGTATAATTATTTCACACAACTGAAACTAATGCTATTAATTTTTAAAAATTTATTAGAAAAGACATAAAAAATTTTAGTCATCATACATTCAAATCCAAAGTAAAAGGATAAACATTAATAATCACACTTTAAAAAAAAAACTATAAATGAAAGAACTCTTAAATAAATAAAACCGTGGCTAGCAAGAGTAAGAAAAAGCTGTCGAAACCTCAATAACTTAACTGAACCTTTTTGAGAATCTTATCTAAAATATGCAAATAGAAGAGCGGTTAAAAATTTTATAAAATCAGGCACATAAACACACTTTCTCAAAATTAATATACTTTTTAGACAATTCTGATTTTTGATTCTCAATAATAAGCAAAATCAAAATATAATTATTTTGCAATGCAGAAAAGTAAAGGTCAAACATTTGCATCTATTAATATTAATGATAAATTTTGCAATTTCATGAATCAAAAACTAAAATTAATGTTAGTATTCAATTATTAAGTTTAATGCCTTGGTAACCATAAAGTATTTTTAAGAAATTAATAACTGATATTCTTCATATTTAAAAAAAAAATTTACAAAAAAATAAATAAATAGAAAACATCTAAAAAGAAAAATATTCCTTTTACATACTACTAAAATTTAAATCCTAATTTAGTACAAAAGTTATATTTCTTTATGACATCTTTCTTTCATTCAGTATTTTAATAGACTGACTAAAAATAACTTTATATTTTTACTATTAAGCTTTTCAGAAAACTGTTTCAGCATTTTTATTGTGGCCTTCATCCCACCCTCTGCACTTAGAGCTCTCCCGCAGCACTAAAATTAAAACAAAAAGCAAATTCCTTTAAAACGTGTTAATTTTATTTTAAAAAATAATTAGCAATTGCAATCAATAACCATATTCCCTAATACGACAATTGAGGACAGAGAATATTCCTGGAAGTCAAGTTATATCGTCCTTTGCGATGCAGCTTTACCATAGTGTTATTATCATTTATAAAATATCTCTTCCAATGATATTTTTCTTAAATTTAATATTTAAATATTTCTATTTGAACTAGCATAGATACAAAATGGGTTAATTATTAATGCATTAGTTTTTATCCTTTCTTACATTCATCATAGATTTTCTCTTCTATCACATGCTTCTTTCAGTTAACTTTCAATTTTGTAGCATAAACAAATATTATTGCCATTATAACTTTATAAAAATTCCTGAAACTTATTTCTGTGGGCTGCCTTAACTATATACTAAGCCTAATTTTTATCGATAAGTAATCATTTATTCAAGTTTAATTGCAATGTTGTATTCTTTAACTCAAGATTACACATGTTTATTCCTAATAAATGAAATAAATATTTATTGTTAAAACAGATTAACTTAAGATAATAAATTTAAAAATATATTTCTCAACTTAAATTACTTATAAGGATGATTTTATGGCATTATTTTTGATTAATTTGATTATTACACTTATTGTTTTGATTAAATAAAATGTTTTGTCTACATTGTCAAAATTACTACTTTGTCTAATTTAAATGCATATATTTTATTATTATACTATTTTGACTTAAAATAACAGAACTGCATGATTTGAACTTAAAATAGACTTTATTATAGTTAACATTTTTTAAAGATGCTTCTTAAAAACTCTGAAAAAATAAATTATATTGTAACCATTTTTAAAGGCAGCATTCAAAATTGTTAACCACACGGAGGAAAGAATATTATATTTGGTAGAACTGAAAAATCAAGAAAATTCCTTTGATAAAAAGGTAAAAAAACTCTAAAATCAGGAAGCTTTGCTACAAGTTAGGAACAATGGCCAAGTAGTAAAACAGTGCTGACAGTTATATTATATTGTCACCAATTTTCATACTTTATTTCATTAAGAAAAAGTTAGAAGAGCAAAATCAGATTTAAAAAGTAAATAAATCTACCTTCTTGAACTGCAGTCTCTACCTGTGATGGTGGTACAAGATTGATTAACTCTTGATATGATTGGGCACTTTGATCAAAGAGCTGAACAAGTAGACTACATGTTTTTTCATACTCACATCTTCCAATAATGGACATCTAAAAATAGGTTATTAAAATTACAAGAATATACAGTACAGAACACTTATCTAGAAACTAGAAAACCAAGCAAATTATCATAAAAAATATTGAAATTGTGATAATACTTAATATAATTGTTAAAACTTTAATTTTTAATATAACAATGCCTGAAAAAATTCTCATTCGAGGACATTTTCCTAAATTAATGAAAATTTGCTATCATTTATCTTGTACAACATTGTTAGCCTTTAATTACAATTATATTTTGTCATATTACAGAACTAAAAAATATTGTTTTTGATTGGTTTCTGGAGAGATACGCAAGTGGTGATAAGTTTGATCTGTTTGCAATCTCACTTTCAAATTAAATATATATTAGAAAGTCTATACAAGCTCTCAATGTTACCTCTTTTTCAAGTTCAAAAAACAAAAGGAAAAGAAAAAAATATTTTGAAGAAGTGTATAAATAAAAAGGTTGATACATTTACTGAGGAAAATTTTTTTGTTCCAAAGTTTTCTGTTTTGAGAAGCATTTTCCAAGAAATTTTATGAATTTTTTTTTAATATGTTATGAATTGTTTTATTCAGAACAATTTGTAGCTAAGTACAGCACAGAACTTTTTATCCAGTATCCAAAAAACAAGGAAACATTTTGTCAGGTTTTCCCGTTATTTTAAAATAGAACAGTTGAGGCAAAATGTTTTTTAAAAAATTTTAACTTTTCCATAGTTTATTTTTTTATCTATTTTTTTTTTTTTTTTCAAAAACAAAATCAGCATCAAAACGAATGATTTTGTTTTTCACTTCAACTTGTGAGGAGGAAATATCAGCCAACAGAAGTGGGTAGGAAAGTTATAAGAAAAATACATTGTTATACTTTACTAAATAAATATAACAAAATAAAAATAGTAAAATGAAAATACAAATTTTTAATTAAAATACTAAAATGAATAAAATACAACTAATTCTTTATTCAACAATAAAGTAGAAATATAGTTAAGCTGTTCTGAATAATTTTCAGGGATTCAGAAAAACGTGAAAATCAGAAATAGGGATAGCAATGGTTCACAGAATTCTAGACAATAGCTAAAATACTGAAACCGCTTCACTAAAAACAGAAAACGCACCTCTTTTCTGAAATAGAATTCTCTGCAAACTTAAGTTCACGGTTTAAAATTATTACGTCGCAGTTTTGTCTTTAAATTTGTTTTACTCAATTCGAATTTCCTCAACTGGTGCACAAGAATACTCAATTTCTAATAAATCTAAAATATCAAAACTTGGTAATTGGTTTGAATACCACATGATGCTTAAATTCACATTTGCAGCACTGAATTATAATTATATTTTTTCAGTCTAGGTAAAAACTTATAATAAAAAACCAAACAAATTAGGTTTTTTTTTTCTTTTTAAATATAACAGAAATTTTTGTATATTCAAAAATTGATTGATAGAAAAATTGGATTGAAAAAAATTTTTTTTAATAAATATTTAACATATTTTTAATTTCTTTGAGTTACAATGGTTTTAAAATGAACATTTTTGACTGCCTATTAAAAGTAGATTTAGGTCATTAAGGTTGTTGGCACCTTGCAACGGAAGTTAAATGTCTATGAGGAGGAAGAGTGAAGGAGAACTTGGTTCCTAATAGTCATTTAAAATACCCCAAAAGTTGAGAGGATTGATTTAGTATGTTGAAGGGTTGACAGACCATAAAATGCCTTCGAGGGGCATCCCCTCTGTTCATATTCAAGGTTTTGTTTGGTGTAAAAATAGGTAAGTGTAAAAATAAAGTTATAAGGAACCAGTGGTAAACAAACAGTATCACATGTATGTTTATGTAAAAATACTTTAATCGAATTTCATTTCATTTTAAAACCTATATGTTAATAAAGTAGATTTTTTGCACAACATTTATTTTATTAAAAATAGTAAAATTAAAATAAAAATTTCAGCATTATTTGTTACAAAATAGTGTTGCAATAATATAATAGACAGTTCTTTATTTAGATGATGAGTAACAGGCGCTTCACTCATATTATGAAAATATACATAATTATATATAGAAAATATGCTATAATTTCAGGGTGTACTAGCTGAAGATAAAAACAAAAAGCTAAAATATGAGAAGGTTAAAAAGATGTGATAATGTAAATTTTAAAATGACGAGTGAAAGTACATGTATATGAAAAGAAAACATTTTTAAATAAAAATTATACATTCTGAATACTAACGAGTATCAAGATAAATTATAAACTTTTCAAGTAACAATTTTAGGTGTATATACAGAACACAGAAAATGCAAAGTAACAAAGTTCGATAAAAATTAGTCAAAAGTTGACAATATTGCACAATTAAATAAATCTAAAACATGTATTATAGCAATTTTATTAATTATATTACACTGCAAATATTTATATTCTATGCAAGATAGTTCTTAATAGATATTTTAGAATTAAACAAAAATAAAATATAAATCAAGCTAGATAAATACCATTTAAGTTCACTTGCTTTTGTTTGTATTTTTTCTCCAAGTGAAATTTAAACGAATGAAATGTAACACAAGTAGTTATAAAAACAGGTTTTAAGAATATATATACATTTTAATGAGATTAATTTAAAAACAATGCATGAAAGGAAAACAATGGGAAAATGGTGAGATTGTTGTGATCTATGCTAAAAGAATCTTGTAAGGTACAAAAACAATTAGCAAAACATTCTAAAAAAAATATTCTAAAAATAAATAAAACAATAATTAAAAGAGGTAAGAAGTTTTTGACATTAATTTTCGAGAAATTGAAAGTGCCCCATTAAGAAGCTGGATGCGAAAAAAATAGTATAATATTATAGTAAAAAGTAACAGTATTATTTTTTTTTATCTGAATTAGCATTTTTTCTCAGAGTAAAAGTGTTAGTTTTTAAAAGTACAGAAGTAAGAGCAGGTTTTGTATTTCGTCACTACTGATGAGAGTACTGAAACATAAATAAAACAATACTATCCCCCAACCCAATTAAATTTGATAATTACCCTATAAAATATAATAAAATCATTAATTGAGAAGATAATTGACATGATGCTTCTAAAAACGTCTTTTTTATTTGTGTGGTTTAATTATCGACAAGATTGACCATTCTTCTTAAAAGATTGATATCACACCATAGCCAGTGATGTTACTTTGATAAATATATTTAAAACAAATAACTATTAAAGTAAAATACATCAATACAATATTGTGAGGAGCACTTAAAAAAATTGAAATGAAAATAGAACACATTAAGTAAAAGATATATGAAATAAAGCATATCAAGCAAAAAACAAAATAAAATGGAAGAAAAATACAGAACAAAAAACAACAGTGAAAGCAAGTAGCGAACTCAAATGAACTTACAAGTTCTGGAATCTTTCAATAATGACTTAAAATATTTTTGTAATATGTTTGCCAGATAACAAAATATGTAAACTGAAGTGCAAATAGAAGTTAAAAGTGAAAATAGAGGGATCTTTTATGGCACTTTCTTATACAGCAGTACTAAAGTGCATTTGATTTGTTAGTTGCCTTGGATTGGCCCGGAAATATATGTGAGCAAGGTAATAATATTTTTATTGGATAATTTGAAGTTTATAATTAATAAGGTTGATATTTAACTACACAATTTTAATGATTTTAGAAAATTGACTTTTATTAAAAAAAGAAACATGATTTGCCCAGTTTGCACTGATTTTTAGCCATAGATTTACCTGAATTCAATTTGCACATGGTAAAAATATAAATTTAGTTAACAAAGAAGCTTTTAGCAAATTTATTAGTAATAATAACATACAATTAACTCAATGATTTTATATCGAACTTAATTATATTAGTTGGGTATCCATTGTTTTTATCAAATTTTTACTATTTGTTTTTTGGTTAAATATTCTTCTAATTCTATTCCTTTGATTAAATGTTTTAAGAAACATTGGAATTCCAAGTAATTAGTTTATTTATTTTAAAATTAAAATAATTTCAATTATTGTATAAATCAACAATGTGGATATTTTATTCTTTTTTAATACCTAAATCCAAAAATTTAAAATTAATCATATCATCATGATTACGAAGCAAGATTAATTCCTCGGGGTAAATATTATTTAACAAAATTGTATAATCTAGAAAATTAAAGAAAATTAAATCATCAATAAATCTAAAAACTAATTTAATATTAAGAGTAAATTTTTTTCTTCATAATAGTGTAAAAATAAGCTAGCTAAGAGCGATCATAAATTAGATGCTTGTGGTATTTTATCGATAAGAATAAAAAAAAAATTCCATTGTAAAGATAATTATTAAAAAAACAAGTATTAATTAGAATTTCCTAATAATCAAAATCGCAATTAAGGACATTTTTAAAATCATAGTAATAACTCAAAAGAACATCTTTTAGTTTAGAATGGGGAATGCTATTGGAGAGATCCTGGAAATAAAATCACAATAGACTCATTTTGTGTTGTTTAATAAATTCTAAAATCTGTTGATTATTAGTGATAAACCAAGAAAAACCTTTAATAATATTGTAAATACTTTCATTTAAGTAGTTAGAGAAATAGTGCCAGGTTTAGTTCGGTAAGTATTCGACCAACATTTTACAAATTTAATGGGAATTTTAAAAAAGTATGGACAGATAATTAAGTAAGGAAATTGTAAATTACTAATTCTAATTTTTAACCTTTTATATTAGGCAAAAAAAAATTTTAATGATAATATCATTATTTAAATTACAAAGCTTAAAATCATTACTATTTTTTCACTCCTTGTTTAAAAGTTCAACATGGAACTTTTTAAAGATTGCATAATTATTGTCAGTTTTGTCGCTGAGGCAATTTTAATTTTTCTTTATTATACAATTTCTTTTTATTAGAATGTAATTTTCTTCTTTTTTCTCTCTTTTCGTTTTATCCTTTTTGTCTTTATTGCGCTATATTTNTTAAAAAATTTAGAGCTCTAAATAATAGTTTAAAGAATATATCATTTAAAAAAATT